ATCAAACCTCTTCAACCAAACTAGTCTGCAGGAGAGTGAAGAATTGATACGAAGTGGTACAGAGCTGTTTTGAACAAAAAATTTCATATTATTTATTAAAAGCATATGTAAGTGTTAATATGTATCTCCACCCATACCGATTTGAAGCTATCCATTGAGATCTCAAAGAATTGAAAAGCCGTCAAATGTGCATAACGCTGAGCGCGTGCTATGGGCAGTACCAACATACGCATATATTTGTAGTTTGCTTTGTACCAGGCATGATTGTAAAATGCATCACTTATGCCAGAACTCTGTGGAAAGATAAGTAATTTTTAGTGAAGAGTGAATATTTTCGTTTAAAAAACTTTTCGCTTTACCAAATCAATGAGATTGTTGCCAAAGTAGGAGATGAAGTAAACGTGCACCATAGTTGCGATGAGAAAAGCTAGAAATTTTACAACGCTTAAGAATTCTGTGCCGGCAACCAGTTGCAGTCCAATGAGACAAAGTACCACACAGGTGCCCATATAGTTCAGAAGAATGGACAGACTAAAGGTGGAGTCTATGCGCTCGGCGTAGCTGAAATTATAGGAAAAGTAGGTATAAGCAAAGTATTTGATCCCAAAGGAAGAAGGCAAACTGGTAGTTATGACATTAAATAATGAATCTGAAGATCTCTTCTCATTTTATTAAAAGAAAAAAGTTTAAGCATCTCCAAGTAATTTCATTTTAAATTTCGTCAACCTCAAACCACTCACTCCAATATCTCATGATGATACCCCAGCAAAGGCCCCAGTTCTTTTATATCCTCGTCTGTACCACTTGGCTGAAATTGCTCAATATGTCTACCCAAATAATCGAAATGCATATTGACCAAGTGTACGAGAGTAATGAGTAGTAAATCGCCACCCAAAAATAAATAGGACATGTAATATGAACCAAAGCATTGTAGTGTATACGAAAATAAGTAAGGAATGGGTTTCTCCTCATTATAAAAATACCACATCATGAAGGGAAACCTATAATTGAATCCCTGCTCCTTATCCTCCCGCCATAAGTACTCCACAGCCGATGAGGCGATTGGATGCAAATTGAAGAGAGTTGTCGTACCGAGATGCCAGAGTGTCAAATATTTGTTGTAGGCAGTTATTTTCTTATAATAAGGCAGCAATCGATAGGCATGACGTTGCTCTCTCGTCTTCGGATGCCTTGCCATTAAGCCTTTGATTATGAATTCCAGTTCATGACGACCGAGCCACAATGTGCCACCTTTCATCAAAGAATTGAGTCCAAATCCCCAATAGATGGTGAGCGCAGTGTAATCTAAAGCACTCTCCAAGCGATCGTAGATGAGGAAGAGTATCATGCTAGAGAAATTGAATGTCACAATCGTACTGAAGGTGCGAAGAAATATCTTCTGTCGTCGGGATGGTGGCTCATCTGGTGTCCATTTGAATAGTTTTTCACCATTGAGACTTATCAGAAAGAGTGGTATCTTCACGAAATCTTTTACGGTAGCTGCCGGTTCAGTGGCCTCCGAAGATGCAGACATTATCAAGCACTAGCACGAAATTAATAAATTCGAATTTAAATAGTTTTAGTGGACGACTGTTTCAGAGTTAAAGACGTGCGTCGTTTTATATGTGAATAGTAACAAAGGCAGTGCGCATGGGCGGCATTTGAAACGGGGATACCAAACGGTTAGAAAAATGTTAAAATAATTAAAAAATTTAATTTAATTTCGCCAACTCCGCCATTGTACTCGTAAAAACTAGTTGCATTGTTCAATCTTGAGTATAATTAATTTCCCAGCTTTACACAAATAGCCAGAGTCGGAGAGCTTGAAGTTCACACCCCCCATTACACAATTTTCATACTACTACTCTGAAATTAAGCATGTATGTAAATATGCAAAAACTTTAATATAGTAGTAGTTGAAAAAATTGGAATAATTTCACATTGCATGGAAACTGCAACAGTTGTTTGTTTGCAAACAATTATTTCACAAATGTATGGCAAATTAAGTAATTATACTCATAATGTAAGAAATTAAAATTAGAAGAATTTATAAAGCATTAAAAAAAACAGATCCTGAGAAATGTAACTAGTGCAATGCGCAGATACTTCCAGCAAAGCACGCTTTTATATCAACGCACCGCTTCACTTGAATAGGCACACATTCTTTCCTCTGATCGGCGCTTATATCTGGGCTTGTGGGCAACGTAGAAGTTTCCTTTGTAGAATAATCAATTTTAAAGAAAAGTGGTGAAAATGAAGAAAACACCTTTGTTAGTTCGAATTTTATTCCATGTTTTATCAAGCTACATGAAATTTATGTTTATTATTTTGATTCACTTTGAAATCGATTCCAGATTAGGGAAGTACAGATTAGGGATGTTAATTTTTCGGGTTTTTCCGATTCCGGGCTTTTCGGGAAGGCGTTGTCACAATCCCGCGATCTCGGGATTAGTCCTGGGACTGAGATATTCTTTACTTTTCAACAACTTGAATCGAAAAACTTGCTTCCATATTGTTAGAGAAGCTGTCCTACAATGAAATAAATAATAATAAATGGGTTTGAAACCTACTTTTTTATTTTAACTGGCATTTTTATTTTTTCTCTCTGACCGCAGGATTTATTTTGAAAGACTTTGTAATTTCAAAGATATGATTAATTTAAAAAATTAAAAAAAAATCTGACAAAGTTAGTAGAATGAAACTAGAGGATGTTATCGTGTTTATATAGGCGNGCATTTTTATTTTTTCTCTCTGACCGCAGGATTTATTTTGAAAGACTTTGTAATTTCAAAGATATGATTAATTTAAAAAATTAAAAAAAAATCTGACAAAGTTAGTAGAATGAAACTAGAGGATGTTATCGTGTTTATATAGGCGCTTAACATATAATTTTTTCAAAAACAAATATTGCGAAATTTCAAGGATAAAATTTTAAAATTACATTTTCAATATTTACCAGCCCTTCTGTACCAGAAACTTGAATCTGTTTAAATACTACAGGATTTCCTCATTAATTTTGTACCCATACTTCTTCTCTAAGCACATTTAATATTAATTATTAAATAAAAAAGGCATATAGCCAATACTAGTCAAGAAAAGGATGCCGGGATTAACATTCCTAGTCCAGATATAAGCTCACATCAGATGAAAAAATTTGTACCTATTCAAGTTAAGCGGGGTGTATATGTATGAAAAAATAATTTGCTCAAATATATGTATTAGGGTGCTAGTGGGGAATTTTCATTAATTATTGAACTAAATTGTGATAATTGTTGATCAACTGCAAAGCCCAATATCTCAAGAAATATCGATATTAGAGATTTGGTTACCTGCAAATTTTTTTCTAGGAAATTGCATGACCTAAGTTACAAGTTTGTGATTTCCAATTTTTCGGCACTTCTTATTATTTTCGAGATAGGGGAAAAAAAGGGAATCTCATGAAAATATTGGGTTTAGTGACTCGCTGGTGAGAGCTTAAGTTACGCTGCAATGGACACTTTTGTAGAACGTTCAATTCTGAAAAAAATCCATCACTAACCATGATTAGACCATAAAATGCTTCTGAGCTATAGAATTTTGAAGAAAATNATTTGCTCAAATATATGTATTAGGGTGCTAGTGGGGAATTTTCATTAATTGTTGATCAACTGCAAAGCCCAATATCTCAAGAAATATCGATATTAGCGATTTGGTTATCTGCAAATTTTTTCTAGGAAATTGCATGACCTACAAGCTTGTGATTTCCAATTTTTCGGCACCTCTTGTTATTTACGAGATAGGGGCAAAAAGGGAATCTCATGAAAATATTGGGTTTAGTGACTCGCTGGTGAGAGCTTAAGTTACGCTGTAATGGACACTTTTGTAGAACGTTCAATTCTGAAGAAAATCCATTACTAACCATGATTAGACCATAAAATGCTTCTGAGCTATAGAATTTTGAAGAAAAGCAATCAAAGTTTACGTGTATTCTATATGGGAAATCTTTGCACGCCTTAAGCTAGTACTTAATGCTAATATTAATGGTCCAAATGAGCGTCGAAATCAAGATTGCAAGAACGCTTTCCAGCTTTTACGGCAATATTTCGCAAATACAATGGGACAATAAACGACCCAGCCCGCGGAAGAATAGGCATGCCATAATAAGAAAAATCATGGCAGTGGAGCAAAATTCTATGGTATACAATCAAAAAAATTTCCTGGGCTAGTATAAAGTTAGTATAGTTCATTGATAAATTGATGGCTACCGACCAGTTGAGCTGAAGCAGCCCGGGGCCATCGATAGGACCTAAATAGTGGTCAGCCAGAGAAGCTCTCTGGAGGCTTCTTAAAATTACGTCGACCAAAGAAGAACTCTAGCGAAGTAGATGTAAGGGACATGATGGTTTTTGGTCCCGGTAATTAGATGGCCTGTTCACTTCTCCAAATATTACTTTAATCCAAAAAAGCACGCCGAGCAAACCTTCTGTGACTCGACGATATTTTCGACCATACTTGCATGGTACCAGATAGAGGACCGTTATCGTATGTTCGTACTTTGACGTTTCCAAACTGAACAGGATATAAAGGGGCATTGCATAGATGAAGAGCTTTAAACAGTCTTAAGAATTTGGGGGCCAATATTGTATGTAGGTCCGCTGACTCTTTGCAAAAGTTGAAAATTCTTATAATTTTCTCAGGCATTCCTTTAGTTTTCATATTAAAAGCAACCATCCGAGAGCGCGCGTTACATAAAAGGAAGTTAACGTTTCATTATTTATATAAAACTTTTGCGTATTGCTTTTGAGTGATTTCGATGATTGCTGCAGTACTCGTAAATAATTTATTGTTTTCACTAAGAACAAGCACGCACGCACGCACACAATACACATCCATACATACTCGAGTACACGCAACTTTTTAGCGTTCATTTGAAGGAGAGGGAGTCACATTGGTATGCACCCATGTAAACGTGCAAGTTATAAAATAAAATTATTGACCATTTGCTAAACAATAACACAAAACATTACCAGTTAAGCGATAGGGAAGAAAATAAACAAATAAACGCACACAAACACATAGCACATGTACCGATGTTTGAAAGGAGAAAAAACATAGAAATGAACGGCGAATGCATTGAAGCGAGCGAGGTCAAACGCGCGCTCAGCCAGACGGCAAGTAGTCAAGTAGCCGCCCAACCAACCACCCACCCACACACACACTTACTTACCATACAAAACTTAACTTTTACACAATTGCAAATTGCAAGTAGAAGTTTGCTGGAGTGGGTATGGGAATGTGCATCTGTGTGTGCGGTGTGAATACGCGCAGGGTCATAAACAGAATTTCATGCAAAATGTGAAACGAAAATCAACAATTCGCGAGCAATAACTCCCCGATTTGCGCACACTAATGTTACAGAGATACACATACATTTTGTTGATATGTATGCACGTCCCTGCAGGAAAAGTATCTAACCATAGGTTAACTGGATGTTGATTAGGAAGGAGTTAGAGGTATATTTTCTTTAAGGAATGCTAACTATATTTCTACGGCGATGACAGCGAAATAGTGCATTAGATGTCAACTATAACAATAAAAAACAATATTTTTTAAAATTTTTTTTTACTATTTTATTTTTTTATTTTATTAACACATATATTTGACCTGGCATGCTTCACTGCACCCAAAAAGTTTATTTGTGCTGTTTAATACCCGTATTGTAATAATAAATTTTTTTACCAACCCTCCTCGACAATATTTTCGGCAGTAAACTTTCCTAAACCTCTTTAATTTGATACCCATATTACAATATTATATTTATTTTAAACAGGTGGCAACCTTTAACCAAAATATTTTCGACTGTAAGCCTTCTTAAACCTCATTCTCTTGGTCATATGGCAATATTTGCTTTTTCTTAGCAATTTACTTAAACTGCAATTTTCAAACACGTTGCAACTCTCTAATTTGTTTCCTTTATATAATTTTTTAGTTGGACCTTTATAAATGCACCGGTGAAAACTGTATTGAATTACATGCATGAGTTTTCGAGTTATGCGCGTATAAACATACAGACAGACCGACAGACAGACTTCTGGCTTCTGTTGCTCTAATAAACACCAAGAATTAGAGAAAATTGGGGCTATTTGAAAAAGAGACGTGGCGCCTTTCAAACATACTGAAACTATTACGTACCTTTGTATGTGTATAACATTCTTCTGTACGTGTGTTTGTGAGTAAACCGATTTTAATGAATTTTTGTTTTGTTTGAGGTGGTATCTGGATTGTTAGACTCACAGTTTGACCCGCCAGGTGGCGCTAGAGTCGATTTGTTACTAAAATCTTACTTATGATCCGATCTGGTTTATATTCGAAATATGATTGGTATCGTAAAGAGAAATATTTTTGCGAAAAAACTTTGCTTGCCAAGTGGCTCGGGAGTAGAGTTTTTACTAAAAATGGTATTTATGATCCAATTTGACTCATATTCGAGATATGTATTTTTAAGGACAGTACTATTGCAAACAAGAGCCGCCGGGTGGCGCTGGAGTCGAGTTA